TTTCGATTTCTGGTAACTCTTCGGCCATAGCTAACTTCTACTATTTAATCTTCAAAGCTTCGCTATAGTAGATTATTTCATCACCTACAAGTAAAGCAAAATTAACTAATTCTCCATCTGGTGTTACTTCATCATCACCAGTCACTTCATAGTCTTGAAGTCTTGTTGGACGAACTCTAGTTCTTTGAGGTATGTAGCTTGTGCTAGCCACACCCTCTTTGACTTCGACAATGTCGGGCATGTCAACAACTACTACGACTTCAACTGGAATATCTACAATTTCACCAACTTTGACTTCATCAGTTTCTTCATCGAAGTCATAACTAATCAATGGCTTGTTAACTGCATAACCAGAATTCCAATCCCAGGTAGAATTTTCATTAATCACAATGTCTCGACTTATCACAATCTTCTTATTGATTGGATTGAATAGCCTATATTCACCAGTTTTATGATATCCTACCAGAATCATAGATTCACTCTTGTCATCAAGCTTCCTTCTTCTTGCATAAGGAACATGCTTGTAACATATAGAGTCAAGCACCTTCAGATGACTTACTGATGATCATTTTCCATTCTACACTTCTTCAAGAACCTTATTCTTAAATTTCTTGGGTAGGGCACCAGTTCAAAATATAAACTGCAGTCGAAACAACTTCACCACATAATGATTTTGGAAAATTCTTCTACTTCAACATGTATCTCGCCATATCCAATATGACCTTATTTCTTCTTTATGCAATTCCATTATGTTGAGGCGTATAAAGAGAAGTTACTTCATGATTGACACCATTTTCTCAACAAAACTCTTCAAATATCTTGAATGTGTATTCACCACCTCCATCTATTCGCAGAACTTTGATCTTCTTCTCACTCTGGTTTTTGATAAGTTTTTTGAATCTCTTAAGGATTTAAAATACTTCTTCTTTTCGCTTGATCACATAGATCTAGATCTTTTGACTAAACTCATCGAAAAATGAAACAAAATATATGTTTCCACCAATGGTATGCTCCTAAAAAGGGCCACCCACATCTGAACGTACAACTTCAAGTGTGCATGATGATCTTATTGACATAGTCGAAATGAAAGAACTTCTAGATTTCTTTCTGACTAGCCAACCTTCATAGAGTTTGTCGAGCATCATAAGTTTTGGTATGCCATTTACCATATCATGAATAATCAGCTGATTGAGTGACCTAAAATTCAGATGGCCAAATCTCAAATACCACAACCATCTATCCTTAAGGTCGACAACTATTTTCAAGCATTGCACCTCTGACGAATTGATCATAGTTTTAAACGTCATGTTCTTCAACAAAGGAGATTTTAAGACCAAATTATTTTGGGTGTCGAACAATTTTAAAGCTCCATCTTTCATAACCATTGAGAAACCTTTTTCGACTAGTTGTCCAACATTAAGTAGATTACACTTCATGCCAGGTACATAAACTACATCTTTGAGCAAATCTTTTGTTCTACTACTTCATTGAATAACTATGTTGCCAGTACCTTCTACTTGCAATGATCTATTATCAGCAAGTTTGATATTGATCTTATTCGACTCGTCAAAGTCTACGAACCACTCCTTTCAACTAGCCATGTGATTATAGCAGCCATAGTCGAGGAATCAGATCGTGGATTCGACATGGTTATATGCAAATGCATCCATAACCACCATATCATCAGAATCATCAAAATATTAACGTGTAAGGTTCGGTCCTTCAAGCTTGCCTTTTTTCGATCCCTTATCTTTCCTGTACCAACAATGCTTGGCTAAGTGTCCCCAGTTTTCACAGTTATAGCACTACAAACCTTTTTTCTCTTCTTTGTCTTTCTGATAGGAATTTCCTTCTCCTCTTTCCGAGGATTTAGAAGTCATATCATCGACCTTATTCTTATAGAGACTCGACCAAGACTTCTTGCCCTGAGTCTTGTTTAATTTTCTTTAAACACCATCATTTTTCCATGACTGAGCTTACTGAGCTTGTATCGAGTCTTGAACTCATTTCCTTTCGACAATCTTAATCTCACAAACTTCAAAGGAACCAACCAAATCTTCCAATTTTAGGGTTTCAAGTTTATTGGATTCTTAATTAGTTACGATAGCATGATTAAAGTGAGAGGTCAACATACGCATTACCTTCTCAACTATCATCTTATTAGTTAGGATTTCACCACAACCCTTCATGAGATGAACAAGTTTCTGCATCTTTGACACATAGCCTACAATATTTTTGTCTTCTCCCATCGACAACAATTCATATTGTCATCACAATGTTTGCAACTTAACAACCTTGATTTTCTCACCTCCTTCATAGTACTTGAAAAGAATATCCCATGACTCCTTCATCGATTCAGCATGAGAGATTTTGTCGAAGTTTTCCGTACGACCTCCGTTTGAATACAATATGCAACCTTACAATCCTTATGTTTGGCACCATTATGTGTGACTTTCTGAGCATCAGTTGTATTTTCGACAAGCTCAGAGGTGTCATTGTTAACCACTATTAAGGTTTCACGGAAGTCGAGCAAGGATTGCATCTGTTTTCTCCGTCAAAGCCAATTCTTGTCGTCAAGAGTTGTAATAGAATTTGGAATACTATTGTTACCATTCATCTTTGCACCAATTGATTTACAATCACCCACGATCCCAGAAACACAACCTTTGACGTGTGATTCTTGAAAACACGATCAAGAATCTAGCCAGAGCTCAAGATATCAATTTGTTAGTGCATGAGACACTTTTAGTGAGGGGAGAAAGAGAGATAATAAGGAAATATATAAGGAAATAAGGATTCTATTATGAATTGAATTGTTACAAACTGATTTACAAACTAGTCTATTTATATACAACTAGCTAGTACACTAAGTAAAGTAACAAATCTTAATTGGGCTTGGACTTGAATTACATAACTTAAATTATATTTAATATTATATCTAATATTTCAATATCTAACACTCCTCTTCCACTCATTTATTATTACTTTGGTCACAATATTTTATAATGATAATGTGATATATTGAGCTTCCTGTAATCTATACCAAGAAAAGAAAATGTGCAAGTATTTTATTTGTTTGTCTGGGTTTGATATCACAATTATTCTGAGGGTTATATATACGATGCCCTCATTCAATAGGGCGAGTTTTGATTTTTCCCGCCTGAAGTATTTTGTTGAGATCTGACCCTTATAAAAGGAAGATTCCGTTTGCAGAACCCCCTATCCCATGTTTGGCTGACTGGGCGTGGGGAATCTTGCAAGGTGGCATGGAAACTGTGCTGAGTTGGATTAATGCTTCTTACATGGCATGACAACTAGGTTAAGTTGGATTAATTCTAAAAAAAATGATTTCTATGATAATCAAACCCAGGAAAATATGCATAGATACCAAGCTCCTAGCCACTGGACAATCTCATTTTGTTTGTCTTAATCTTGCCCCTGAAACACTAATTAGAACAAAAATTGAAAATAGAATAATTGGTGTTTGTGGTTCTATCCATTATTTTGTTTGCCTTCATTTTTCAATAGCTTCATCTATTTTAAAAGATGAGTTTCTGCGTTCAAGAGACTATCCACGATGCCCTTTGACATCTCATTTATTTCACAGGTTCAGACAATTGGGTTATTCATGTATCAGGTAGGCACGTTTCTGTTATTCTAGATAGAGGGACCACTAAAATATGATGTTTGTGTGTTCCATCATTACTAATTTTCTTGAAATTCTAGCAGATTTCATGCTATTGATAAGACCCAAAGTAATTCATTAATGGGTCTGGAGATTCTTAACAAACATCTTTCTAGTTCTTCTACTGATAAACAGGCTAAAGCAGCAGAAGAATTTAAGAAATCAATGTATGGATTTGCTGTTGATGATAGCCGTAGCGATGAGGAAGGAGTATCAAACCCCAAAAAAATACATGTTAGAATAAGAGAGAAATCAATTGAACCTTCTGTGGAGGTGAATAAAATTAAAGAAGCAACTAGTAAATTTAAACTTGCAGCAGGGATAACTTCATCAAGTAGTAAGTCTTTATCCAGTGGATCACAAAAATGTTTTGTTTTCAATTTTTGTTCTAATTAGTGTTTCAGGAGAAAGATTAAGACAAACAAAATGAGATGGTCCAATGGATAGGCGCTTAGTCTCTATGCGTGTTTTCCTGGGTTCGATTCTCATAGAAATCAAATTTTTAAGAATTAATCCAACTTAGCCCAGTTGTCATGCCATGTAAGAAACATTAATCCAACTCAGCGCAGTTTCCATGCCACCTTGCAAGATTCCCCATGCCCAGTCAATCAAACATGGGATAAGGGGTTCTGCAAAAGGAATCTTCCTTTTATAAGGGACGGATCACAAAAAAAAATACTTCAGGAGGGAAAAATCAAAACTCGCCATGTGTTCTTCTAATGTAAAGAAAAACCCAATCTTTTATGTTCTTCTAGATCAAGCAATGTAAAGAACTAGATATGATACTACTATTAAAATGCAATTTTTGTGAAATACAATATTTTTGTTATGTTGATTTTGCATAAGTTTGGTAATTTTGATTATGTTTAAGGTAATTTTTGAACGGGTAAATTAAAGAGTTCTCAAAGAGTTCTCAAAAGAAATGCTTACTATTAGATTAAATTGATGAAACAAATGTTAATTTGTTTAAACTAGTTAATATTTCTTGATCTTATCGTTGAATTTACTCGATCAATTTGATTTTTATTTCAGCCATGATAACAAAAGCTTATCTTTTTAAATAGATTTTCACAAATTTTAATTTTAGTCAAATGATTCAAATAATCTTTTTTTTTCTATTTTAAAAATTAATCCTTATAAAGATATTTCCAAATTTATGAGTTTGAATGTAAAAAGGAATCGAAAGTGTTGCATGCTCTAAGCACGTGATATTATAAGAGCAAAAATGATTCACTACATTTGATATTTAAAGAGGGGTATTTATAGGAGTCGTGATTTTCTAGTTGGCTGTCACTTTAATAACTTTGTCGCAGGGATGGGTGATTATAGAGTCTTGCAAGGCGAATCATTAGAAGCATTCAATGAAGGGATTAGTCATATTTTGAATCGTTGGTCAGCTGTTCGAACCGCCGTTGATTCCATGTGGGGTGGCAATAACTCTCATCTCAAAGCTCAAGAATTAATCGCCGATGTTTGTTCTTGGTTCGCTCAAACAAGGGGTAAAAACCACTTAATTACCTTTTTTTTAATTTGAGTTTATATTATTTTTATTTTTCCCCCAATTTTATTCATCGTCCATTTCAGGGCCATTTTATATTGATGACTTGAAAACCTTCATTCATGAAGGCATGAATGATGCTTTCGATCTAGAGATTAATGATGGAAGCGATCAAGATGTAGGTTTTTATCCTTTTAATTATTTTTCGTTGCCTCAAATCAATGCTTTTGTTATTATTTGTTCATCAACTCTTCTAATTAAGGATTTAAATTGTGATCTAGTTGTAATCTTCTAATACTATTGAATGCTTCTGATGCATTATTAGTTATAGTTGCAACAATTATGGTTACATTGATGTCAAATGTAGTCTAAAATGTGATTACAATCTATTTTTAAAATCCACTATAGTAATTTGATGTAAATGTATGTATGTCTAAATTATTAGTTTTTACTTATATTATGCAGATAGCTGGAGCACTATTGTTTATACGAGAAGAATGCTTAAATGGTGATTTTAGGAATATCGAATCTCTCAGAGACGCTAGTCATATTCCAAACTTTTATCCACGTATGGAAGAGGTAAATTAAGGCATAATGCATTTTAAATGAAGTTTGAATCGTTATAATTATATTTTTATTATCAAATTTATGTTTATGTGATACAAGTATGCTTGACTTAGGTCTTTCAATTTCTATAATATGAGGAATTTTAGAAGAGAAAGAATATTGAGTTATTACTATTACAATAATAATGTAAGTGTGACTAAGTGGGAAAATAGTCCCACATTGGATAGGAATGTATAAGTGGGAGAATCCATTCACCTATCAGCTTAAAGTTTTAGGCGAACAAGTGGTGTGTCTCTTACAAAGATGCATAATCCTCAACTTTGTATCAATGCTCATAGTAACTTCCCCTCTCCAATAAATAGTATCATGAGCCTTTGATTCGAGATAGGGACCGACTTAGTATCGAAATGTCCAAGAAGAGATGTCTCGTTGTAAGGTGTCAACGGCGGTACAAGTGTCTTGAGGGGGAGCATTGAAGACTCACACTTGAGGGGGAGTGTTAGAATAGTAATGTAAGGCGGTGTATGTGGGGGCATTATGGACTCCCACTTGAGGGAGAGTGTTAGAATAATAATGCAAGTGTGAGTAAGTGGGAAAATAGTCCCACATTGGATATGAATGTATAAGTGGGAGAACCCACTCACCTATATCACCTTAAGGTTTTAGGTGGATAAGTGGTGCGTCTCTCACAAAGGTGCATAATTCTCAACTTTGTATCAATGCTTCTAGTAACTTTCCCTCCCCAACAAATAGTATCATGAGCCTTTGGTTCGAGATAGAGACCGACTTAGTATCGAAATGTCCAAGAAGAGATGTCTCGTTGTAAGGTGTCAAAGGGTGTGAGTAAGTGGGAAAATAGTCTCACATTAGATATAAATGTATAAATGAGAGAACTCACTCATCTATCACCTTAAAGTTTTAGGTGGATAAATGGTGTGTCTCTCACAAAGGTGCATAAACCTCAACTTTGCATTAATGCTCCTAATAACTTTCCCAATAATTACTTAATGTGATGCATGCATTTTGTTAAGCTGTATTTTAGAATTGTATGTAAAACCCAATGTTCACAATATATTATTTTGTAATTTGCTTAATTGATTTTTGTTACTTGACTTTTTTTTCTTCGTATATTAGTCTTATTTTCAATTAAAAATCATATTCAAGGCTATAACCAAAATTTAACATTCATTACATCAATAATGGTTAGGTTGAGATTAAATAATGACAATTTTAGTTAAAGATGTTTTTATTTATATAAAAAATAAAATTTTGGGTTTAAAATATGCATTGCCTAATCTTGATTTGATGTATGTAGAGAATATATGTTCATATTGATTTTTGAATCTATAATCATCATTAAAGATAAGGTCATAGTTAACATGCTTCTTATAAGGGAATAAGATTTCATGCTATTACAATTGGAAATTGTAACAAATTTAAACTATTTTATTTTAAGTCGATTGTCGAGATTGTTTTATCGTGTGAAATAAGATTAATATCTAATCATCCAATCTAAAATCTACAATACTAATTAATTACAATGTTTAACTGTTATGAATAGTGGTTGATTTGAGTTTATTATTTTATGTCAGAAATATGAGAATGTGTGTAGATGATGTGAGTCTATGATATATTATATGTCAGACTTACGTTTTGAATTTTTTATCTAAGTAAAAACTAACTCGGCCCAACTTATTCTCACCTCTAATTATTAAAAAAAATTTAATTTTTAATTTCTATGAATTTTATTTTGATTTTGGAATGTTTCTTATTGCATCCTAGAGCGTGATTTTATCAGGTTATTTTGTCTTCCCTATATATTTTGGTCTATAGAAAAGTCTTTACTGCAAACAATTAGTTTTTCATTTGAAAACTTTTTATGTTAATTTCCTATGTTTAAATGATGCTAATTGTAAAGTTATTATGAATGTTATACAATAATATTTGGCTAATTAAATTTTGACAGTGATCTATTTTCCTTGAATTAATGCTAACATTTGATGTTTTGCTAGTTTATCGAGTTTCCTTTTCCTCCTCCTGAAGACACAGATAGGCAAAATATCAACTCTAGTGAAAGCACTATTGTGGAGGGTACTTCTGCCAACAATTCAGTTTATGAAACAAACTCAGATTCTGTAAACCAACCAAGTTAATAGACCTGAGCCATTGCATATGGAGCAAATGATGAATGGGCATTCATAGAGAAAGAAAATATACTTATACTTTCTTGAGATGTTTTATCCTAGATAACTTTATAATAAGGATGTGTTTTCTATCCATATTTACTTATACTTTTTAAGCTATTTTAACTTTTTTTGAGATGTGTTATGCTAGACAACTTTATAGACTTTGTTTGTGTTAGTTAGGTTGTTTTGATAGTTTTACAATAAGATCTAGGCATTGAATTGTTGAAAGTTTAATGAATCTAAAGCTAAAGTAATACAGATTCCAAATATTATTGAAGCAACACAGTGATTATCCATTTCAAAATCAATGATGAAACCAAATATGAAATGAGAGAAGAGGTGAAGAAGAAATAGTACCTCAGAGAGTTTTACCTATCGATTCAACACTAACTGAGTTCAGTACACAGTGGCGCTGTTTTTTTTCTTCATATTCACAAAGGATTTATGTTGATAATTATGTTACAGTTATAATGGTGACTGTGTCGCATGTGGCGCATGCACTCTATTTTACACTAAGACCACCTCCAACGGTGATTTTTCAGATTGGTTTGCCAGCTTGACATTGAAATTGTCAACAAAAAAGTTATTCCAGATGGTGAACGGTACAAATATAAGCAACGACTCTTCATATTTTTTTATTATTAAAATAATTAATTATAAATAAAATATTAATATACAAAGAAATTGTGGGACTCAATATAAGTTCTTTAAAATTGCACAATTGAAGTGAAAAATAGAGTGAGTTACTTCAAGATGATGTGGCTTAATGGGTCCCACAAAGAACCCAAATATGAGTAGCACCATTGGAGATGCTGACACGATTGTAGGTGACAAATGTATATCTATCATGCCCCAGACAGTGATGTATGCATTTATGCACTATAATTTTAGAAGCACGTGCCACAAACAGTGGCATTTCAGTGTAAAAAACAACATAGTAGCCAATATATATATGATGCATGTTCTTAAAACTATAGTGCATGCACTACTGCATGTGACATAACAAATATATATGCGTCACAAACAGTGATGTGTTAGTGTAAATATAGTGTATTTACCAAAAATAGTGATTAAATTATTGTTTGAAAAATAGTTAATTTGATAATATTTTTGAAAATATAATTATTTAAAGTTTTTTTTATAAAAAAAGTGGTTAGTAAAATAAAATTCAAACAGAATTCTTGCAAGAGAATAACTAATATTTTTATGAGAGGATGTTAAACATAATCAAAATTTATTTTCAGAAATTACTTATCCTAGATAAATAAATAAAAAATAATTATTCTAAGATTTTTTTTTAAAGCTTCACACGATGATAATGTCACCGCATGTTTGTTTTTCGAGCACCATGAGATTAGGGCACCAAATACTTGAAAGAAATATTCAGTTGTGCTTCTTCGATGTTCCTTATCTCCACACCAATCAACATCTGAAAAATAAGTAATTGTCGCTTCTTTGCTTTCAGAGTCTCGCCAAAATAATATTACACAGTTTATCGATCCCTTCAAATATCGCAGGATTCTTCTTGCAGCCTTCATGTGAGACACCATTGGTTCGCTCACGTATCTGCTCACTAATCCAACTACGCAATCTATATCAAGTCGGCTGTTGCACACATATCTCAGATCCCACAATTTGCTTGAACAAAGTTACATAGACTTTGTCTTCCTCTCCATGCTTCTTCAACTTCACATTTAGTTTGACAGGTGAAAATGCAGGATTTGAATCATTCATTATGAATCTCTTGAGTATCTCTTTGACATATTTTCTTTGATGTAGCATCATACCTTGCTTCGACATTTGAAATTTCATGCCTAGGAAATACGAAAATTTTCCCAGATTTGACATTTCAAATTCCCTCTTCATCAGCTCTTTGAACTTTGGCAAGTTCTCCAGGCTATTTCCAGTTACCAGCAAGTCATCGACATATAAGCAGATGATTGTTATATCTTGTGCTACAACTTGAACATAGACACCATACTCTGATTTGTATTTGAAAAATCCCAATTCAACTAAGTATGAGTCAATCTTCTTGTTCCATGCCTTAGGTGCCTACTTGAGGCCATTGAGTGCTTTGTGCAACTTATATACTTTACTCACTTCCTTCTGAATCACAAATCCAGAAGGTTGTGTGACATAGACCTTATCGTCTAAAGGACCATTCAGAAATGCTGACTTCACATCTAAGTGAATTGTCGACCAACCTTAGTTATATGCCAATGCTACCACTAGTCGAACAGTCTCCAGTCTTAATACTGGACCAAATACTTCAGATTAGTCGAGTCCTTCTCTTTGAAGAAACCCTCGAGCTACTAATCTTGATTTATGTCTTGCTATTGACCCATCAGCATTGTGTTTCAACTTGAACACCCATTTTACTTTGATAACTTTTGTCTGTGCTGGAAATTCGACTAACTCCCATGTGTTATTTCTTTCAATTGCCTATAATTCTTCGACCATAGCTAACTTCCACTGCTGAATCTTTAAAGCCTCGCTATAGTTTATTGGTTTAGCACATGCAAGTAAAGAAAAATGAACTAATTCTCCATCTTGTGTGACTTCATCATCACCAACTTCTTCAAAATCATGAAATTTTATTGGAGGAACTCTATTTCTTTGAGTTTTTGGCTTGTGCTATCCAAACCCTCTTCTACTTCGACTGTGTCGGGAATGTCAGCAACATTTTTAACTTCGACGTTGACTGGATTCCGAGTAATCTTTTCAACTTCAACTTCATCAGTTTCTTCATTGAAACTAGAGCTCATCAATGGCTTGTTAATTGAATTACTAGAACTCTAATCTCAGGCAAAATTTTCATCAATCACAATATCTCGACTTAACACAATCTTCTCATTAACTGGATTGAATAGCTTGAACGCACTAGTCTTATGATATCCTACCATAATCATAGGTTCACTCTTATCATCAAGCTTTATTCTTCTTGCATTATGAACATGCTTGTAACATATTGAGCCAAACACCTTCGAATGACTCACTGATGGTCGTTTGTCACTCCACACTTCTTCAGGAACCTTGTTCTTCAATTTCTTGGTAGGACACTAGTTCAACATATAAACTGCAGTCTGAAATAACCGGCTGAACAAATCACCGAGATGAAGTCAATAAAGTCAACATCAAATATTTTTTATCCCACAGAAAGAGAAAGGAAAACATCGAGTAAACCTGAGAAGGGTGAAATCAAGGTGAAACGATCGATAGATACGGGTAAGGAAGTCTGTTACACGAAGGGAAGGTATTAGCACCCCACACACTCGTAGTACTATACGACATTCACTCTTGTTGTTCTAATCAAAGGGTGTGTTTCAAATCTAAAGCTTAAGAGCTAAAAGAAAAACGTAAAGAGGGAATGCATGCAAAAGAAAACACAGGGAAAAGAAGGAAATATTTACAAAATTTCGCTCGGCGGAGCCCCGTGACCACAAGCCTCCGAATGGCTCCCAGTTCCTTGCCGAGAAGCACAGAGTGTGGCCATCAGTTTCTTTTGCTCCCTAACAGAAAGGTCAATCATCTTATCTGCAAAAAGACATTAAAATAATGAACGAGAAAAGAAGGAAAAAGATCTGTAATCAGCGACCAATTAAAAAGTATCTTACCCAAGAAATCCAGAACCTCTTCAACAGACAAAGGTAACAAGTCCTTGACCTTGAATAAACAGAAATAATTTAGCAATTGCAAAGATTGAACCTCAAGATCACTCAGCTTATCGTAGTTAAACCCGAATATGGGTAGAGGGTTTCCAGTCTAATATAATGGAAACTTGGGATGTTCGTCAGTGGCATAGAGGACCCGGGGACATCTCGGGTCGCAGCCAATACATAGGAACCGATCCTTAAATCCCTTATAATTCATGGTGTAAGCTTGAAGGAATCTCCTACGAGGAACACCACTGATGTCAACCCAGATTCAAGACTCTACATTTTTTACTTCAAATTAGGAGAAGAACAAGCCAATGGTCGACATCATGTCCAAGGCATCGCAGACAATCTCGAAGGCCTTAATAAAACCCCAACATTTTGCACGAAATTGGGAAGGAGCCTCATTTACCTTCCTCACGACATCAACCTCAAATTCAGAAAAAGGAATGCAAATGAACATATCTGTTGTACCCCAAAATTTTCCCTCTATTTTCTCAAGACATTTCTCAAGGGTTATCAAGGGTTTGATCAGACAAGCCCACCTCTTAAGCACTGAGACCACAAATTAGGGTTTTGACTGAAGTTCATTGATCATTGGCTTTTGACCTAATACATAATCTAATGGTTTGAAACAGAATATAAAGGACTCAAACACAACATGTTGACCTAATTTCATGACTCAAATCATTTCTCAAGATCAAAAGATTGATAGTTGAATTTTTGATCAACTGATGAAAAGTTAATTGATACACAAAAAGTCAAACTTTGACTTTTTGGTCAACATTAAATTTCAAAGATCAAAATTCATCAAGACATACAAAAATATCAAACTTGATCATCAAGAATCAAGAAAGTCAAGAAAGTCTACAAAAAGTCAAAGTTTTCAATACTTAGAATTTTACTAAGTGTTTTTACACTTGATAATTTTTATTATTTCATGACATTTTTTCACCAAGATGCAAGATGATTCAAAGAAAACTTTCAACATGAAAATTGTAGATCTTGATGAATTCTAAAACTTTGTATTAGAGGGTTGATGTCCAAAATATGCTTAGATTTGAATATATAGGCTCGTGAAGTCATGACATTTTTGTATAAACACTTAGAGAAATTTTCAACAAGTTTGGTCAGATTTTTGTCCCAACTTCTTAGCCAATTTTCATCAAGTTCCAATTTGATTTACCCAAGGTGGTCAACATGAAAGTTGTAGACAATGTTTCAAGCTTTCTAAAACAACCAAGAACATGAATTTATCATACTTGATCTAGGATATTCAAAGGCATGAAGTTGGGCATCCATTCTTGAATTACA